GTCGTCGTCGTCGTCGTCGTCGTCGTCGTCTTCTTCTTCGCCGTCGTCTTCTTCGTCGTCGTCGTCTTCTTCGTCGTCGTCTTCTTCTTCTTCTTCTTCTTCTTCTTCTTCTTCTTCTTCTTCTTCTTCTTCTTCTTCTTCTTCTTCTTCTTCTTCGTCGTCGTCGTCGTCTTCGTCGTCGTCTTCATCGTCTTCTTCTTCTTCTTCTTCTTCTTCTTCTTCTTCTTCTTCTTCTTCTTCTTCTTCCTCCTCCTCCTCCTTCTGCTGCTGCTTCTTCCTCTTCCTCTTCCTCCTCCTGCTGCTTCTTCTTCTTCTTCTGCTGCTCCTCCTCCTCCTCCTCCTCCTCCTCCTCCTCCTGTGACGGATGTCACCATGGAACCAATCGGTCCCAGGTAATTCAGAACGATTTCACTCTGCTGAAATTGTGAGTACATGCATGATGTCCATCGAGTTGGTCGTGATGGAGTCTTCTGCTGCATATCTTGTTGCCACTCTTCCCCCATCGGCGATTCTTGCATTTGTAGCGTGCTGGCCTTGAGCCAGGCATGCCACATAGTAGTGGTTAAACTTCCTTGCCTGTGCACATGAAAATGTGAAGGAATCAAAGTGACAATTTCCCTCTGGGTGCATGCACTGCATGGCTTTCAGGTACTTGACGGTTGCACTCTCTGTCATCTCCCTGCTGTTAAAGAGCTTTGGGTCGATTATTCAAGAAACGAGGCTGGCAGCGCGACCTGCACCAGGTGTAGATCTTAGTGGAGAACAGAGGTAATTACATCACCCTATTCCATACAGTCACGATGAAGGTGGATTGTTTTTGGGGGAAGACAGTAGTTAATCCCTGCCCCTCAATCCACCAGTCCCTTTCCCGGCTAGTGTATTCCCCCATTGGCAGTTAAGCTGACTTAACCCACCACGTAGTGGGGGACTTGGGCCGGCCAGAAAAGGCTGGCATCCCCTGGAAAAAAGATGCAATTTCATTCCTGCATCAATGCTTTGTCTTTGTTTTGGCGCGCTGCAGAACTTGGGGTCGGAAAAAAGAGGCTTGAATGGACTGGTGGTTTAAGGGGTAGTGGTTGTTGGTGACCATTTTGTGGGGCGCTGGATGCCAATCTAGGATTGAACCATTCAATTCCATTGGTTGGCCATCCTCTCCAGCTGTGGTGCTTTAAGAGTGGTTTTTCTACGGGAATGTGCACTGCCTGCCTGTAAACGACTTTTATTGAATATCAGTGCCTGTGGTCGATGATGGGGGTTGATCGGGGTGAATATCTCATGATGCCCATCGTCTGATTGCACGAATTGCTTGAAGGCAAAAGTTCTTTTTTTTTTTGAACTTTGGACCATTTCTCAATTTATGTGTGTCATCCTTGCACGGGGGCCATGCTAATCTTTCTCTGTATCGTTCCAATTTTAATGGATGTCCCGAAGGACATTGAAGGCAAAAGTCTGTTAATTATACTTCAATTTGTGATGAGACATCTGAACCACTGCATCGTTCTCGAGGCCCTCTTCGGTCTTCGGACTCCGTCTTACTGTACCTCCACTGATTTTTTGGAGCCTCTCTTTAAAAAGAAGAAAGTGGAATTCCTCCCGAGAAGGGTGGTTGAAAGCCGGTGTCTAACGACAACTGTTTCATCAGGGTGAGCATCATCAGGATCCGCTTCAAGGCTATGTATCCCCCACGGTCATGACCGCGGGGGCAATTACACCCAGCGGTCAGGAACTTGACCGCCGGCCTCGGCCGCAGCCGGTCGGCCCCGGCCGAGATTTTCAGATTTTTGTTTTCGAGAAATATCAGCCAAGAAAAAAGGGCGGTGTTGTAGGTTTTTTTGCTCTCCACAACCCTGTATTTTTATTTTTTATTTTTTACTTTTTTTTTTTTTTTTTTTTTTTTTAATGAAAGACAGAAATCCCGGAGGCAAAAGTTCTTCAGTTTATTTTTTTGGTACGAAAAACAAAGCAATTTGTATTTTTCTAATCTCAAATTTAGTAAGGAATTTCGATGTGACCCTGAGGCAAAAGTTGTTCAGTTTATTTTTGTGCATAACATATATTGTTTTCTATTTTTTTTTTTTACTTTTTTTTCGTGACCGGGATCCCCGGTCATGACTGCGGTGACCGCCGGTAATGGGGATTCATAGCTTCAAGAAGGTAACCCCAATTGTGAGCAGCATTAAGAAAGCCTGTCCCCAGGGAAGGAGCCTCGGCCTGTTGCCTCTTCTTTCTCGTTTCCTAAAGATGCGCAAACGTTTTATTGAATCAGCTCGAAGGAAACGTAGCTGCCTTTTGATTCTCTCCATGGTTTCCTTTTGATTTTCTCCATGGTTTCTCCGCCTACCCGCCATCGACATTCAACCAATCCGCTCAGGAGCTTCCTCCTGCGGCGTGGTTTTGCATCAACCCAGCCTCCAGGCCATACAGTCTCTACTTCTTTGGCTCCCCCGCTTCTGCTGCATGTCAAAAGATGATGACTCCGTTATAGGAAACCAATTCGCAATCTTGGCCCTCAAAAGGGGAATTGAGCATGGGCCTCGGGCCATTCAGGGTGGCACTGCTGAAGTGGAGTTGCTGTCTGCACCAGCAACGAAGGGGGTAGCTGTTCGAACTACCTCTGACACCTCTCAGACAGCGGGAGGGTCAGCTAAAGGTGGCAGCTCGAGCACTCCCTGATGACGTTTTACAGCCACCAGGGGAAGACAAGCAGGATGTTTTCGAAGCTGCTGTTTGAACTACCCCTGACATCTCTCAAGCAGTGGGAGGGTCAGCTAAGGTAGTGACGGACAGCGAATTACAGTCTGATAGAGTGACTCTTCCTCCAGGAATTGAGGCCTCACATGAAGGTGTTGCCCAGCCTGATGGAGGGGACTTGCTCCGTGAGGTGGACGGCACATTGCAATCTGCTTCAGTGGCTTCTCCAGGAATTGAGGTCCCTCGTGAAGGTGTTGCCCGGCCTGATGGAGGGGACTTGCTGACACAGCCCGTGCTTGAGGCTCTTCATACTGCTGGAATTCCTACTCTTGATGGGGTACAGACTTCGGGGGTCTTTACCTTCTCTCATAAGGGTACTCCCTTGCAGTCAGTTCCTTGCTCTACTGGGAAGAGAACTAGGAACACAATTTCCGATGGGATCACTTGAGCTCTGCTGTATGAGAGGGTCGTCGGGAAGAGGCAGGTGACAGCACACATCGGGTACAAAGCACTACTCTGGCTGCCTCTGCTGCTTCATACTTTCGTTTTTTTTTTTGTAGGAAAATCCTCCTCCCTCTTTTTTGTTTTTTAAATACCAGGGCCATTACCTGGCTTCGGCTAAGAACAATCTGAGAACTATTAAAGGAGTTCAGGAAATATTGGAAAAACATGGATAGCGGCTGAGTCGTGCTGACCTATTGCTAGGCTACTCAACGAGCAATTACTAAGTCGAAAAGGAAAGCCACAGAAGTTTTTCGAATGCTCAGAAACCCTGGAATCCCTGACAAAACCCTCTAAAATTCTCTGACACTGTCTTATTCCCCGCCGAGCTCTCCCAGGCCTCATGCCCCCACCCTGCTAGGTTACAGGGCAACACGACTCACCCCATCTCCTGCCAGTGTCGTCCCAACAGCAGCCCTTGGTTTTCCCTTGGAATGCCCGCCCCAAGGCATCCCCAGATCTCTCTACCAGGCCTCACGCTCCTGCTATCAACAGGTTACAGGGCAACCCCCCAACACCGGCCAGCGTCGTTCTGGCATCGAAAAAACGCAGATCCATGAATATAACAGCATCAACGAAGCCTAAAGTGAGTTGCAGGAAGTACCCATTATCCTAAAGCATTCTCAAGACCGCCACAAGCAATCTGAGAACTATTCAAGGAGTTCAAGATAACTGCTGAAACCTATTGCTAGGCTACTCGAGCAGCAATTACTAAGTCAAAAAGGAAAGCCACCGAAGTCCTTTGAATGGTCAGAAATCCTGGAATCCCTAACAAACCCTCTAAAATTCTCCAACACTGTCTTATTCCCTGCCAAGCTCTCACAGGCATCATGCCCGCACCCTGCTATATTACAGGGCAACACGACTCACCCCAGCTCTGATCAGCGTCATCCCAACAGCAACCCTTGGTTTTCCTTTGGAACGCCCGCCTCAAGGCATCCCCAGATCTCTCTACCAGGTCCCACACTCCTGCTGTCAACAGGTTACAGTGCAACCCCCCAGCACCAGCCGTCGTTCTGCCATCGAAAAACCGCAGATCCATGAATATAACAGCATCAAAGAAGCCTAAACTCAAGCTGCAATTACTAAGTCTCTTGTTTTTTTGTGAAAATTGAGAACCAATTAGGATTGGAAGCCGAGGTAATCAAAACGACGTTACCCCAGTGCTATTCAACCGACCAGCCTACAGCTGCCTCAACCCACCTATCCTAGATACCAAGCTCTGCCAGGCCTCACGCCCGAACCGCTGGGTTACAGGGCGGTGCGACCCACCCCAGCTCCGACCCCGCATTGTCTTAGTAGCAGCTCGCGTTTAGTCACTGGACTGCTCGGGGCGCTCGGCCGTGCAACCCCCCTGGCCAGGCACCCGGGCCTCCTCAGCGCCGTACCCGAAACGGTCGTTAAATTTTTTTTTTTCGCCGTCGCCCGACGGCCTACAGACCAAAAAATTTGTTGGCTAGCAGTGCGCTATTTTTCGAGGCCCAGTAGGCCCCTTTCGAGAAGTTTTTCTTTTTTTTTATCTAGTCCGTCGATCATCGGTGACCGGCGGCGCACGTAGCTCCCAGGATTCAAATTCGAACCGTGGGCCGGTCTGCCTCACCCCGTGCACCACGCCCTCCGCTCTCCGCCCTCCGCCCTCCACCCTCCGCCACGCGCCAGTCTCGTTGCTGTCGTTGTCGCCCTACCACCGCACCGTCGTCGTCGTCCTGCTGCCGCCATCGTCGTCGACCTGCGGCCGCCCTGTTGTCGTCATCCTGCCTTCCTCGAAGACTGTCACGCGCCATCCCCACGAAGGCTCGAACTTCGAGGTAAGTTTTCGTTTTTTTGTCTCTTCTTCTTCTTTTTCTTCGTTTATTTTTCTTCTTCTTCTTCTTCCTTTTCGTTTCTTCCTCCTCTTCTTCCTCTTTTCGTTTCTTCTTCTTCTTCTTTGTTTCTTCTTCTTTCTCGTTTCTTGTTCTTCTTTTTCGTTTCTTCTTCCTTCTTTTCATTTCTTCTTCTTCTTCTTCTTCTTCTTCTTCTTCTTCTTCTTCTTCTTCTTCTTCTTCTTCATTTCTTCTTCTTTTTCATTTCTTCTTCTTCTTCTTCATTCCTTCTTCTTCTTCTTCTTCATTCCTCCTTCTTCTTCTTCTTCTTCTTCTTCTTCTTCTTCTTCTTCTTCTTCTTCTTCTTAGTTTCTTCTTCTTCTTCTTAGTTTTTTCTTCTTCATTTTCATTACTTCTTCGTCACTTCTTCTTCTTCTTGTTAGTTTCTTCTAGCTTCGTGTTTTTCTTTTTCGTTTCTTCTTCTTCTTGTTCATCTTTTTCGTTCCTTCATCTTCTTCTTTTTTTTCGTTTCTTCTTCTTCTTCTTCTTCTTCTTCTTCTTCTTCTTCTTCTGCGGTGCCCATCGCCTCCCTCTTTCCTCCAGGGGCGGCCATCGCCTCCCTCCTCCTCCCCTCTCCATGACGCCCGCCCTCCCTCTTCCTCCATAGGCCCCCACCACCCCTACGTGAATGGCCGCCATAGCCCCCCTCCGCCCTCCTTTCTCATAGCGCCCCTTCTTCCTCCCTCTGCATCGCCTGCCTCCTCCTCTCCTCTC